AAAATAAAGATCTTTTTGAACATTAAAGCATGAAGACATGTCACAGTGGAGGAACAAATATGAACCTGAATATGATCATAAAAGGGCCTCTTTAAAGAAATCACACACGAGAACATAAGCACGGGTAAGAAGCATGTTTACCTTAGTAGGGCTTGGGGTATGTTTGTTTTCACAAAAGGAATAGCCCCTTGTTTCTTCAGAACTTCAACAAGAACGCTGTCTTTCTTGGCAGGGTGGTCCAGATTAATGACAACACCACAAGAAGAGTCGTAATTCTTGTGATGTAAAACAAAGACAAAAGAGAATGGTTAGAAGAGAGCATCAACTCATCAACCTGAGTTTATCAATGATATGAAAGGTGTTGAATGTGCAGTATAATCATTTGCAGAACATGCAAGTTAAGATAGCATCATTCAATTCTAAATCCAATGAGCAGGGTAACCTGACCTGCACACACCTGTACTTCATCACTGATCAACTAACCTTCATTCAATCCTGGGTCACTGTTTCCAAAACAATTTTGCATTGTTGTAAGAGCCTGAGACGAAAGATTTTCATCGGCCAAACTACACTGTAGCTATTATGCTTATGAAAATAAAGCATTTGAAAGACGATGGTAATACACAACTACAGAATACCTTGTATCCATAGTTTTCTTTGATGCTAACTGGGACTCCATACAAGAGACCTTTCCTGTTAGAGTCAAGAGTTTTCATCTGATCGAAACTCTCCAACAGGATCCCAGTGCAGCAGTTCAGATCTTTATTCAAATCCAGAGTCTGTGGGAAGAGAAAACACAGCACAGAGCCGTCCTTTTCAAACACATTCCTCCAAAAGCTTGGTTTTATAGACCATGAAAGTCATATAGAAATGTGCAAGCAAGTACATCAATATTTACTTTGTAACAGTGCATATAGACGATTTAAGCAACAAGCCTTGAACATATATACAGTATGTATTGCATTTATTTTAATTAGACACAAGTCTGCTGATGAGTTTTAAATATCAGTTTTGGGATGAAAACCTTAAAGAGTAACACGAAGATCTACTAGGCATTTTGAAAAGAATGAAGGTATGATTTGTGTTATGTTTTTTCACCTTTTCCATGTAAGAGTAAAACACCTCCTCAGGGTTGAGCGAGCCTTCCTGCAGTTTCTTTGTCAGCTCAGAGAGAGACAGCGTCAGGATGAGAGCGGAGTCGGTCTCTGGATGCTAGAGGGCACACACAAACACACAGTAGGCATACAGTAGAAACATAGTGGAAAGTGAATTCAGACACTAGGCAATAATTATACTACTTTTTACCTAAGTTTTTATAAATATGTAAAAGCTCTTCATGAATGTAATATTTCAAAAAGAAAAAAATCACACCATAATCATTTTGTATGTATCTGACTGTGACAACCCTGTGGTTGTCCACCATGTGGTGCTGTTGTAAGAGAGACCCACCTGTTGCACCTGTTTACACTATTTAAGAGGGCTGCAGAACAGGCTCTGCTCTCTCTCGGCTGCCCTGCTCGGTGCACCAGGCCACCGCTCCTCTGTGTGTTTTATTGTTGGTTGCAACCACTGCCCTAATATAGGAATTTGGGGACTTTTACTTTAAAAATGACAATATTTTTTGGTGATCAAAGTAGTTATAAATTACTTTTCTGCCAAACAACTACAGTAATTGTTGGACCGTTTTCAATGCAGACATGTTTAAATGGAATAGTTGGAAAGGAAGCAGATAAAATCTGGTGATTATTGACTAGTCATTGTAATTTATAATAAACACATGATACACTGTAGATTGAATTCTTAATACAAAAAAAAAGTAAATTTTCAAGTCCAAAATGGAAATACTCAGTAGGCCTACAAGTAGCCTACCTCCGAATGTAAGTACAGTACTTGAGTAAATTGGTTGATAACCCGGGATGGACAGGAAGAATCGACCTCTTCCTCCAGCTGACCCAACGCGGACGGGGGACCAACAGCTGGCAGGGGGGAGCCACCAACTCGAACATTTCATTGTATATCACTGCATCATTTGTTTAATGAAATGCTGTTAACTTTTATAAGCTTCCCTTGACTCTTTTCAGTTTATCCTGCTCTCAGGGCTAAAGAAATCCTTACAAAATCCACTTAGGCAACTGCTGTGTTGAACTCTCCCGACTGTGTACTTGGCACACCGGCATGCTCAGCCCGCTGCAGGCTGTCGGTCCTCCGGATTCTGTGCCTCTGGATCTTAGCTTTGCCTCCCCGATGAGTGTAGCCTTTCTTGCAGGCAGCACACCACGGTCCCTATCAGGCAGCTGCGTAAACAGAGCGCTGTCCGGGCTCTACGCATTCCCCAGATACCGCTTTACGCCCTCCATGAGCTAAACTAAGGCCTAGAACAAAACAAACACACTGAGTGCTGAGGGTGTGAAGAGCTGCTGGCGTTCTACAGTAGGAGACAATCAACACGTGTCTGCGCGGTGTAAGCAGAGTGGAATAGTCTCAGCAAGAGTTTCATCGTGTTAATAATTTACATGGAGCTCAATACAAACGTTCTAAACCATCACAGAGCACCTGGCAAGGGGGCGGACCCGGATAATAGGTTTCTAAGAGGCTATTGCAATTGAGGCAGCGTAGGTGGCCGGCCACAAATGGGATAGGGTTTCAAAACTTACCAAAAATGCAATGACATTTCCCAGGGCTAAATCCCTAAAAAACATAAGCCCTAACTCGCTAAAAGTTTGATACACGGATCAATGTTAATTACTCGTTAGCAACAGCTGAGAACCAGTGAACCTTTCCAAATGGGACAAAAGGTAGCTGCTAGTGCTATCTAAGTCTTTTAATGAGGTCAACAGACAAGTCAAACACCCATGTTGTTGTAAATGCACCAATAAAACTATAAAGATATAAACTATAAACTAACAACCTTCAATTTTATGTTGAAATATATATACATTCAAGCACTGTCATATTCACGTACGCTCTGATTCGGAAACACTTCAGGGCCTTTGATTTGGATTTTCACAAAACTTTTTAAGACGCCATGGTGTGCCGCTCAGTTTGCTCGTATACAAAACACTCCTCCGTTGGCGATCATACTGTCGCGTACTGTCTTTTACCCCTACTAGTTAACTCTTGTCTGTTGCTGACAGCTTATTCCAGAGGCGCGGAAAAGGTATTTTGAGTGGGGTTTGGCTGAGGTGGCTTGGAGCTCGCAGTGAACACGATTACGGGCCCACTATAGAGGGGGCACGCACAAAAAAAACTCCGAACAACACAAACACACAGTAAACCCGCGACTGTGTACAATGAGGCTCGATAATGCAGCTCACGGCAAATATAGGCAGGGGTAAAGTGCTATTTTTTTACGAGTGGGGCAAGCGACGGGTCTCTGCCTGTTCAACCTCCTCTAGGGAGGTCCAGGGGGGAATGCTCCCCCGGGAAGATTTTTTAAAATTGAAGTTAAAAGCAATCATTGTGCAGGCTTGAGAGCAACATAAAGAGATCTATGGACTACAGCTCCACACCGCGGATGAAACACAACCTGTGAAGGCAGGGTTCTTTTCTTATGGATATTTACAATCACTCCCCTTTCAAACTGTATTCTTGTTAAGCTGCCATTAGGTTTTCATACTGTTTTCCTTTATCCTTATTTTTTTATAACATAATGATCATATGCGTGTGGGCCGCGGAAATAATCTTTCTGAATAATTGTTGACCCAAACGCGTTGAGAGCCCACTGAGATAACTGTAAGACAAAAGTTAACTACTTAAACACTCAGAGAGCGCTTGCTAGCTCACCTGAGCCTCTCAGTCTGAGAGGAGAGGCTCCTCCTCCCAGCTAGGGTTGTGGAACAAAAACAGTTTCCCCGTATGTCCGTTACGGTAAGGCTAAAGGCAACCAGAATGGCTAAACCGGTCCGCTGCTGCTAGCACGTCCCTCTCTCTCTCCCCTCTCTCACACACACTAAATGCGGCTATCCGACACAACACAGAGGGCCGCGAGGGCTTGAATGAGCACAACACACTTTTATTGTCCATGCACTCTCTTAATTGGTCTGGTGTCTGGCCTCGTTGGCATTCAAACTGAACACATGAAATTACAGTCCTGCCGTCCTTTCTAGTGATC